CGAGCGGCGGTCGGCTCGGCCACTGCGGGTGCGACGCATGATAGAGCTGCTGGGCGCCGCATCGTGTACTACCGACCCACGCCAAGGCGCGGGGCGGTGGTGCTCGCCGGCGCTCGCGGTGCTTCGGTGCTCGAGCGCGCTCAACATTGTGGTCGTTCAGGGCGGCTCGCACAGCGCCCGCAGACACACACACACACACACACACACACACACACACACACACACACACACACACACACACACACACACACACACACACACACACACACACACACACACACACACACACACACACACGCAAGGGCGAGGACACGCGCAGGGGCCGCACCTCTAGCGAAGCCCACAGAGTGGGAGACTCCTATCACCGCCCTGCCACCCACGTGAGCCTTTTGGCCGCCTCTGTCAGTGTGCCCGTGGTAGTGAGAGACTGCTGGTGAGAAGCCGGAGGAAGGTCGCTAGTCGAGAGAGATCGCCAGTGGAATAGGGAGTCCACCGTGCTGCGAGCCTGTCGCTGTCCCTTGTCAGGAGCAGGAGAACTAGGAGAGCGCAACCAGTAGGAGGCCCGCGCCTGCCCCCGTGCCGCCGGGTGCAACCTGTCCTATACGAGAGAGGAATCCCTGGGACCCTGTCGTGTGGGTGAACCCTGCCCAGCCCCCCTCCGTGTCGCGATGCGCTCCCCGCTCCCGTTCCCCTGTGTCCCTGATCGTCCTTCCAAGATCCTGCTCGTGCAGGTGGGGACCCTGTCCCTCTCCCACCCCTCGTTTGGCGTGCCCGTTTTATTTATTTATTTATTTCAAGCTACGTTATTACACACACCGGCACCGTCACCCTCGGCCGGGGATCCCCTCTCCCCTCGACGCCAGCAGCGCGGCAAAGCTGCCGCCCACCCTCGCCGCGAGTTCTGCTGGCGGCCCCTCCTCGGCGACGGCGCCCGCGTCCATGAGCAGCACGCGGTCCGAGTCGAGGATCGTCTCGAGGCGATGGGCGATGACGAGCATCGTCGCGCGCCGCTCGCGAAGCACGCCTTGAACGACGCCGTCTGTCTCTGCGTCGATGGACGAGGTCGCCTCGTCGCAGACGAGCACCTTGGCGCCGCGCAGAATCGCGCGCGCCAGACAGATGAGCTGGCGCTGCCCGGC